AAAAAAAAAAAAAAAAAGTTAGTAATGCTACCTTTAGAGAGAATGCCTTGGATGGAGAGAGCAGTAGTTTTTCTATTTTTACTTTCTGTAGCACTAAAAAATTTCCAACATGAACATTTGTTAATTCTATTGTTTAAAAATTCTGATCTTTGGTTGGACTTATGGGTTATATTTTCCTTTTATTTTCTATATTTAATAAAAAGTTTATGTTTGGCTTTCTAAATTTTCTTCTTTTTAAAACAATATCCTGGTGCTTTAGTTGTTAATTTAGTTGCTTAAAGCACAAAGAACAAAGGTCATAGGCTTGATAAATTACATTTGCAAAGAATAAAAATAGCCCTTGGCCACAGAATGCATTTTTAACTTTAAAAAGTCATCTGGCAAACTCACACTGCTGATCACAAGGATGAATCAGGTAAAAGCATGTAGCTTACTCAATACAAAACATTAATACTGGGAAATAACTCTAATATCTTACTGACAGAGGGTAAGAGAATAGATAGTATAGTTATTCATCTCTAAGTAAATGATTCAATTTTCACATCCATCAATTCAATGCATTTCTGAACAGAATATAAACAAGACCTTAACTGTAAAAGAAAATACAGACCCTGTATGTTCAGAAAAGCCAAAAAGTGTGTATCACAAAGCTTATTATTTTTTAAAATGATATATTTCTTATTAGTATACCATATAAACATCAAATAAAAAAATACATAAATATACCTGTAACATCTTCTGGATCTGATACAACAATATGTGCATTTAGTTCCTGTAGCTTGTGATGCAGTTCTTCTAACTTTTTATTTGATTTTTTCAAAATGTTGTCCACATAAGCCAAATTTTTTTTATCTGTTGTGACTTTCCTCAAATTTTCAGCTCCTTCTTTGATTTTCAGTTCTTTTCTTATTTCTTTCTTGATTCGATCCTTGATATCATCCAATTTCTGTTGCACCATTGTATCTGAAAAGTCTAATTTTTGAACAGCACTCACATTCTCAGAAAATGGAAGACTTCGGGAATCTCCCTACAGAAAAAAATAAGTATACATAGAGTTTAGGAAATTTAGCTGCTCAGTAAAATGCACAACATAAGAATAAAACTATACATAAAGCAATCCTTTATTAAGTATATTACATTTAGTTACATTTAATTATTTCCTTAATAAGCAACAGACTACTTATTTACCTTTATTATAACCATACAAAATCATAAGTTGAAAAACTGCCCACTCACTAAATAGCATTATCTGACAAATTTATATGAAAATAAATACAACATATATCTACACACAATAGTTGTATAAAAATAGATTTTCAATATCCTATGACTCCAAGATATATCCAATGCAGACACTGTGAATCCTAGGCCAGTTATTTAACCTTTCAAACACTTGGTTTAATCATCTATAAAATCTAAATAGTATGGCCACCTTTCAAAGATATTGTGATAATTCAAAATATTATATATGAAGCTCCACATATAAATCTTGGCCCACTGTAGTCACTTAATAAGTGAAAATTATTAAGTTCCATAGTGAGATAAAATTCCATTTTATGTTCTATAAGAAACCTCTAAAAAGTAAACTAATATTAGCAAAAATAAAATAAAGTTATATCCTTTTGACCACATTTTAATGAACTGCATGCATTAAGGCTTGGGAAGGCTATATTCAGAATTCTATTTGTGTATTTTATGACTAACAATCCAACTGATAATTTGGTTGACTCACTACAAAAACATTATTACTAGAAAATATATCTAAATTATGTACTACTGAGAGAAGCTAAGTCAATACATACTACCAGTTATTCATCTCAAATTGAAAATCAAATCAGGTAAGCACATATGATCTACATCTAAAGAACCAAAGTTATATTCTAGTTATTTGTACATCATTCATTATTTTAAACTCCATTACTATAATACTTTTGGTTTTAAAATTGTTAATTTCGGAAATACAAGAAACTAATTTTTACCTTTTGGAAGAGAAACTGAGTTTGTGAAGGACATAGAAAAGAGACATTTCACTGTGCACCCTTTACATACCTTTTAAACTACAGACTTAATTAAAACATTTTAATTTCTTTGGGAATTCATCACATCCATATAGTTAAGTTCTATTTAAATTCTTGATTTCTTGATGCAAATACTTTTTAGATCTAATCCTTAACCTCTAAAAAACCTGTACCAATAGGCACACTATACAAAAAATGAAGTAACTGATCTATATAAATCTGTTCCTAATCTTTTTAGGACCAAGAACCCCATTGAAACTTTGACTAAAAAACAAAACAAAACCACCAACCAACCAACAAAACCAGCAGAACAAAAAAAATTACATGTCTGTATGTATAATTTCCAGGTTCCATGGATCTGAGACTAAGAATTCCTGGGACAGCTGATCTATACACCTATTGGGCTTAAATGTGATCTTATCTATATGAATACACAAAGATCTTCTACCTGTACCTAATGTCTAGGTTTTTTACTATCTATAATAAAATATAAGTCCTATTATCCATCTATTCAGTTTCCAAAGTTTATGAATACACCTTTAGCTGGTTATCAAAACACTAGCACATAAGACTACTGTCAAAAAAATAAAATCCCGAATTTCTGCTGTCTAGCTTCAGGTAAAGTGGCTGAGGCAAACAATGCTTAGATGAAAAAGTTCAATGTACTGCATTCCTCTAAATATATTTCTTACTATCCTTATAAACTTAGAAAGCATCACATGAATTGCTTTCACAAATGTGCTCTTTAATATTATGTACTAAGCCAGAGGAGTTCCCTAAACTTCTGGGTTCCTACTAACCTTAGCGTTTCAGTAATTTTTTCCTTATGCCCCATAGGCCAAAATTAATACCTAACAATTCCATTTATTAAGTAATAAGGCCCAAATAACTGAATAAATACTTATAGCTTAGTAACTGAAAAGATACAAAATGAAATAAAAAATTACATTTTTGTTTCATTCTTTAATAACCACAGTTTCTTATTAATCGGATGTGTCTGCCTGTTTGGGTACCTTCACAATTTCTCAAACCTTAAAATCAGATTGGATATTTCCACCTTCATTTCCTGTTCCATTGTACAAAGGGAATGTAGAATTATCTAATATTGAAACCTGACTCCAGTTAGTTCATATGGTATCCAACAAATAGTGTTACTGTGTTTCCGTAAAAAATTTAAAATATATTGCAGCATCCTGAGAGCTTCCTGAGGCACCCCAGAGAGCTTTGTTGCTTAGTTTGCAAAACGTGATACTAAGATTTAAAGGCTGTTAAAAAACAAAACAACAACAACAAAAACAAAAACCACTACCGTATTAAAATGGCTTGTTCTTGATGTAAACCCTTTGAAGGCTCTTGCCTACTTCAACTCCCATTTCTTTTCAGTTTGCTTCCTAAATTCCAATCAAGCTACAGAAGTTCACTGACAAAGACAATCTTATTCAACTATCTCTTCCTAATCTCATCTTTGCTCAGTTAACTTTTACTTTGTCCAGGTTCACCACAATTCTTCCCTGGAAAGAACTGCCTGCTTATGACCTTAAAATTTAGATTAAAGTTTCTCCTATATGCGCTGATAGTATGGATCATATTTAAACAATTACTCATTTTCTTATCTGACCATCCCAAAGACTATGCAGGGCTTATGCTTGGCAGAGTAGTTTTATTTTCTTAATGATTTGTCTATTATACTATTTAATATTCTTCTAGAATTCAGGAAAATCTGTCACTGCTAAGGAAGTCATGATTTCCTATTTCTGATAAAGAGGCTTCACACTCCAAGAAGCTCAAGGGCAAAACTGACACTCAATTATAGCAACCATATTAGCTAGAGTTAGATATGAACAACATGTAGTTGTTAGCATGTTTGCTTTCCCTGTTCCTTCTCATAGATCTAAATTTTTAGTAACCATGTTTTTACTCCCACCTTTTGTTGTGACACAACTCAAACACATTTTGGAAAGGATCAGGAGATACATACAATATAATCAGTAACTTAAGATGAAAAAATGCCTTCTGAGAGCAGACAGTACCTTCTATTACTTCTTTCTTAAAAATTTTAGTTGCAATAAACTGTGAAAGTTATTGAAAAATGTAATTTTCTTGCATTTGGAACAACTGAAATGAGATATTCCATCTATTAATTATGCCTCTAGCCTTAAAAAAAAAAAAAAGTTGTATCAGAAATGCCAGGAATCTGTATGAGGCAATGAAATAATATTCTTGATATAAGGAAGATAATTTAGCCTAAGGAATATAAACAGCTATTTAACCAGTGAAAATAGTCAGTGATAATCTTTGTCTAAACAGGTTCTATTAGGCAGTAGTAACTGTCTATATCATATATATTAAATTTATTTATGTTTACAAGCTTAACACTTTCATTTACCATTCACAACCCTTTGCTACTCTATAAAATTTCATCTCTTCTCCAAAAGTAAATAGTACAAACCCCTTCCAACTTTTTAAAACAAAGTCAGATCCAACTTCTAATCAGAAACTCCCTTTAAAATTTATTAATATGCTCAGAAAGTAGAGATGAAAGATAAAAAAATCTAATCCTAAGCATATCTTAAGCATAAAACTAAACTTTTCAGAGTATTCATGATCTTATACCAATTATCTTTATGTAAAAGAAACCCCATAATTCTTATACCTTTTATCATTGAAACCACAAGCTTAGCCATTCCATTCTAGTCATATTAATTAATCACTGTGCTGTTTACATTCTTTTACCATGTTTTTTATCTCATATTCCTTTCACTATCAATCTAAATTCATGATCACAAAATACTTGTTGAAAAAATATTTCAAGTTTTTCACAATTAACCCTAACTACTTATTTCTAATGTATTTTAAATTTTATATCATCCATATCCTTAATCCAGTCATTTAATCAGAGGAGTCAAATAGAAACACAAGGAAATCTTAGTGGAATTAAAACCCTGATGATTTATAGAATAATCAAAATAAATTTTAGCTAAGTAGATTTCAAGTAGGCTAAATAAATACAAGGAAGAGAGATCTCAATCAGTAAGAAACAGAGTAAAAATTAGATGAATTTCAAAGGAACAAAATAAATAAATAAACTCAGTGGACAGGTTAAATACCAGAATAGACCAGATAATGAATTAGTATACTGGCAGACAGATAACTGAGAAAAGTACTCTAAATTCATCACACAGAGATATGAGAAATTTAAAAGCGTGGAAGAAAAAATAAGAAGACCTAAGATCTATCTAGTATGAGCTCCAGAATAAGAGAATAAAGAAAATGGGGAGAAGCAGTACATAAAAAAATAAATGGTTGAGGACTTTCCAGAACTGAAGAACCATATAAATCCTCAGGCTGGAAGGTCACATCAAGTTGCAAATACGATTATAACAACAAATGTAGAGAGAAAAGGCATTTTATCTACAAGTGAATGACAATTAGGTGAACAGAAGACTTTTCCTCACAACAGAGATCCCACACTATCAAACTTCGATAGGATTTTCACTTTTTTTATCTTAAAAAATGTGCTTCAAAATATTAACACTCTGGGAGAAATTACAGACAAACTAACTCAGAATCCATGCTATATTTACATCATTGCCCTATTCACTAATCATGTATGTTAATTTACATTAAAGAAATACTGTGCTGTGGAGAACAAGACTGTACTATTTTTCCTCTTCAATTGACAACAATCCTGCTGTAAACCATAAGCCTTTACAGAAGTTAAAAATACATTAAAAGAAACTTAAAATAGTGGTTCCCTTTGACCCAGTAATTCTAATTCTAGAAATATAACCTAAAAAAATAATTAGAAATTGATCACTACATAGACTGGCCAATTAAACAAATTTTAAATTAACAACATGTGTAAGACACTGTGCTGGGCAGACACAGACTCCCTCATAAAGGTTACAAAATAGCAGGACTTTAAACCAACATATAAGAAAGAGAAAGTTCAGGATGTCACAACAAAAGCATTTCAAACAGCCTAGAGAATTAAGGAAAGGTTTCTCTTATTTATGTCCA